TACGAAAGGTTTGCCGTGGAGTTTAGTCAAACCTCAAAGGCACCCCCGCCCAGTCCACCAGTCCACCACGCTATCCTGACCACTACGTAGCTGCGACCAGTGCAATGTCGCGACACTTATGTGAGCTCCACACTTTTTTGAGCACTATCAGTGACAGAACTTCAATTTTGAGAGTATTTCATGTCGTTTTCGATATCATCTCCAGCAGTACCCTTCAGGATGCGGGCGGCCTTTTCTACAAGACAGTGGTACGAGCCAAATTTTCGCACCCTATGTGCGAAGTGACCTCATTAAGGCTGATGACATAAGGGTCACAACACCATCCACACCTCTCTGTTAATCAGCTAAAACGCAATTAATAGGAAACAAATCGTTACTTAACAAGAACATTACTCCAAAGCAGTAAAATCCACCCATTCTTAACAAATTTTTTCTACCCTTTTTGGCTTTCAGGGGGAGGCTGCTCAGCGGAAATGAAACACAATACTGCAGCCTTCGTGAGAGCCCCTGCAGCACGAAGAACCATTTTAAAAAAGCATCCCACACCCTGAACGACCTCCCTTGTCAGGGAACTTGCGCGCATTGAGCCTCATTGCAAACGAATATTCCGTCCGAACGATCACGTAATCTGTTAATGAAGCGAGTGGGCTGAACGTTATCAGAACCAATTAGCAAGAGGCTAAGACTCTATTCTCTAATTTATACAGTCTTTCAATCATCCTTTCTCAGTACCCTCTGAAACACCGGAATTGGCTCATGATCAGCCCAGACACGTTAGATCTGCTTATTAGAGAGTAGACCAATTGTAAACATTTTCAGTAATCACACCGATCAATAGAGGACGGCTGTTACAAACTCAAGACAGCGTCTTTCAGAACCGCTGTTTTTCCTCATCACTCAGGAATCGGGACTTAAAGGCAAACTCCGAGATCACACAGGTGCTATCAGCGCTTTGTAGTGATTTAGCTTCGGAGCGACCTGAAAGTGGAAAGGAAAGCGAAAGAAACCATTGGGAACGTTGCAGCTAAGGCCCTAACCTTCAATAGGGTCGGATCTGGTACGATGGCGAGAAAGGCCGGTCAAAGAAGACAAAATACGCGAGAGAGCACGTCGTTCGAGAGTGTACGCTGATCTCTCATCAATGCACGCTGATCTCACTTCTCGCGTCGGCTGGAATGCGATGAAACGGGAGTCGATGGTTGTGGGCCCGCAAGGATTAGGGCCCTAACTGCGCAGTTTCTGCTGCTTGAAGCTGGAGTGATCCAGTTACGGACCTTGAAATTTCCCCCTGGATTCTCTCATACTAGTCAGGCTGACCCCGGGGCTTGCCTTCAAACACGCTCTGTCTCGAAATCCAAACCGGTATTTCCAAGCCAACGCTAATATCGCTCTCAGCTGTAGCGCTTACCTGAGCACAGCCGGCTGCTGTGTAACTTGTTAAGATTCACCTCGTAGCAGCAGTTGCTTTCTTTCTCCCATCCGGGCCTGTCGCTCAAACCTAGTGATTATTGTAATAATAGTCATACTGTCATGTAAGAATCCATCAAACAGGACGTTCATCGCATCTGTGGATTAGAACAAACGCTAAGCTACTCAACATATTAATTCCTTTACAAATTCTTCCATTTTGAATTCCAATCTTGACACACTTTTTAAGGTCGACACTTAAGTTGAAGACCCTTGCTGCTAATCGAATAAACCGAGAGAGCTCACCTTCCAGCAGATCTCCATCGCGCACCACAAGATTAAGATAAGTTCTACTTAAGACGCACGCCGTGATGAGAGCCCTCAATCGCGTACTCTCGCTCCTAGGAGCAATGTTCTCTGCGTTGCGATACTGTCGACATCACAAAATTTGTTCCGATGTTTCCGAGTTCCTTCTTGCTGCTGATCCTTTTCTCACTTCACTTATTTCGGAACATAAAACCACAATTTTTGATTCCGAATACCTCTTGGTGCACTCGACTAACGGATTGTCGAATATCTGCTGAGCACATATGTTTGCTATCACTGGGGTGAGAGCCAACACCAAATGCGATGATGTGAAAGTGGCTTATTTTTAAGGAGGGGTTGTCCACACAGACTGCCGTTATTCGAGACACTTATCCAAATTGACTGGCTGCGATGTATGGATAAAGATGGAAGTCAACCAGGTAAGCGCCATTTTGATATGAAATCTACGGCTCTTAGTCAAATTTGAAACCTCAAAAATATGCACAAACAGAGACTTCGTCTCGACAAATTAGCAGATTTAGTAAAAACGGTAAAGCGATAGTCTAGCACTGCATTCATGTGTAATGGAATAATAGTACAGGACGTGTCGACAACTTCTCCTACAGTAACAATAAAGCAGAAAGACGAACTCTTACCTAATCTGCGTGCAATAATTGTTACCATTACAATCGGGACTTCAGTGCTCAGACCACAACCCATTACTTTGTTTTGATTTCCAGCTTTAGAAGCGCTTCCTGAGGCTTGCAGAATATAGCCGCTGTGATCCGTGTACAGTCCACATCCGGCAGACAGGGTGGGCGGGGCCATATACGTAATTGCGTACTACACAAACTTGATAGTTGTCGCAGCGTACAGCTGATTCATATTCGTGATTTCTACTATTATTCTGATGTTTTGCTGTATTCTTGTATTCTCTAGCACTACTCTACTTATTCAGCAGAACAGGTTAGTCAGTTTCACCGAAAACTATGCTGTTTTGCTGTTATTTGCATGATTTTTCACAAATGTCGAGATTTAAGCGTGTTTTTCTATTTTAGTTTTACCTTTTTCCGTTCGACTTGTTATTCACTATGTACAGCATCTTTTATGTGTTTCTTTTGTTGTGTGGAAGACTATTTGATGCTATTTTGAAACAACTCTTCGGTTTTGTGCATGTCTTTTTGTAGGTAGTGCTGCAATCGCCGTCCTTTTGCACATTGCGTAAGGTTTCCTTCTTATTTTCAGTTTCACCTTTTTCCTTTCGACTTGTTTTTCACTACAGCATCTTTTATGTGTTTCTTTTATTACGTGGAACACTATTTGATGCTCGTTTCGTTTGTAGATGTCTACTAGTAACGCACGACTTGCAAACGATGTTTATTGGATATGAAAGCAGAAAAAGAATCGTTGCGCAACATATAAAAGGGCATTTTGGACAAGGGCTGCGGAAGCTTGCGACAACCGTAGTGAGGAGTGCAACACAGTCCGCAAAGGGAAAATTTGAAGACTAAGCTTGATCCTTGAAACGAGATTTGGAAAATGTTGTATATCTGAAATTGCTCACCTAGAAAGCGTTACACATGCGCACGGCCTGAAAAATTGCATGGCACAAAAGCGACGAGTTGCTTCAAAACAACATCAAATAGTGTTCCACACAACAAAAGAAACACATAAAAGATGCTGTAGTGAATAACAAGTTGGAAGGAAAAAAGTAAAATGAAAAACAAAAAAGAAAACTTACGCGACGTTCAAAAGGACGGCGATGGCAGCGCTTCCTAAATACATGCGCAAAAGCGAAAAGTTGCCTCAAAACAGCAACAATGTTTCTCACAACAAGGAAAACATTTAAAAGATGCTGTACTGAAAAACAAGTGGAACGGAAAAAGGTAAAATCAAAAATAAAAAAACCACAGTCAAATCTCGACATTTGCGAAAAATCATGCAAATAGAATGCAAAACAGCATAGTTTTCGGTGAAACTGACTTACCCGTTCTGTTGAATAGGTAGTGTAGTACTAGAGAATACTAGAATACAGCAAAACACCAGAATAATAGTAGAAATCACGAACATGAATCAGCTGTTCGCTGCGACAACAATCAAGTTTGTGTAGTCCGCAATTACGTATATGGCCCCTCCCACCCTCTCTGCCGGATAGGGAATGTAGACGGTTGGTCGTTTCTGCAGACGCCCGTCATCGTCAGTCAATCGCCATAATCTTCCAGTCTCGGGTGCTCCTAAAAGTTGAACTGCCTGAATTTGATTTTGTTGGTAAGAATGAAAAGCATGGTCACGCAACTCCCGAACATTTAACCGTGCTCGCTGCATAAATCAATAAGGATCCCATCCTCAAATGAGGAAGGCATGTAGAGTTACAGTGTTCAGTGACTTCATGTGCCCAGAATGTCATGCACGATTCTCTGAAGAGCGCCACATAAAAGCATATGCTGCCACATTCTTTGAGAACCATTGCATTTGTATTCCACAGACACCCTGCATGTGGATACAAAAACAGCAGTTTTGGGAGGGTTGGGAGAGTTTTTGGGAGCGAACTTCAATGCCTTGACTTGAACCCTTCAACCGCAATGCTGTATTCTGTTCGGTAATAGGAAGGTTATTCAGCGTGTCGAAGCTCCAATATCAACGCAAACTGCGTAACGGAATCTTCGACCTTTACGTTCTAAGGCACCTTCCCAAATGTTCGAACGAGGGGGTCGAACTTTGGTCGGACTGCCAGCCACAGGCGCATGCGTGGCGTATCCGAGGGCAAGAATTGCTTGTGCAGACCGCATTAGATTCGATTTATTATGCAAAGAGAGACAATTTTAGGCAAATTACAGCATTTTTAAGGATCAAAGAGCAGCTGGATGCACCCCTATGGAAGTGGGAATAGTTGTTGGGAGATTGGGAGTCCCAATCGCCCAACAACTATTTCCTCATCTCGCTCTATATAAGAGATATACGGGGCTCTAGTGTTATCGTGAACGGCAAACGGGAACTAGCAACACCAGCTTTCTAGACCTTATTGTCTGCTCTTATCAGTCGCCTTCAGTTTCTATCATCCACCATTTCCCTCCAAGCTCCATCCTTTACAGCTACTACACGAATTTTAGGTAAAACACACACCTATATATAAACACAGCCGAATATGCATAGCAAGATCATGGTCTGCCATCGTGACAAGCCCGCTTATGTCCTTGAAGAAACCGAGCGTTCATGATTCTGAATCTTTGAAAATATACTTCCAGGATACGGGAAGCTTCAAAGAGAGAGGTGGACGCTACGCCTTAATGTCCCTCACTGAGGAAGAGAAGAAGAATGGGGTATCTTTTAGGATTCTCGAAACAAAAGATTTTGAAGGAATTTCGATAAGACACAGTGTGTAAGATATGTTTACCTGCTCCAGGTCTTCGCAGCTTCGGCTGGAAATCATGCGCAAGCAATAGCAATTCATGGCCAAAGGCTCGGCATCAAGGCCAATGTTGTGATGCCTCGTCATGCGCCACTCATGAAGATTTCGAAATGCAAGGAACTTGGTGCAAACGTGATCATTGAGGTAATATTTATTTTACATCGACAATCGCAATGGTTAACACAGATGTTCTCGCAGTCGCTACGTGGGTGTGTGATCTACAGCTTGTGTAATCAAAGGTTTGCTTATTGAAGTGCTTGCGTAATTAGGCTCAACTCATGAGAAAGGAGGGTGAGTCATAACTGGATGCAACAGAGAGCGAAATCTCCGCTATATCAATAGTTGGCAACTATGTAGTAGCGTGACCTCAATATAATAAATATACTTAAATGCGTTAGAAATCGATGCAGAGACGGCAGCGGGGGAGCAGTACGTACTCCAAAGCCTACCGAGCAGGCAGTCATTAAGCCGATCTTTACCAATACATCGCCAATCTCAGAATCTTCGAACACTTTTGACCGTACCAATATGTACATTCGTTAGCCTATGCTCGCAAATGCTCCTATTCTTCTGGACTTGTGAATTGAACTTAAAAGATAGCCCCATTCGTCATTCTCTTCCTAGTGAGGGACATTAAGGCGTACGTCACCTCTCTCTTGAACTTCCGTATCCTGTAAAGTATATTATTCAAAAGATTCTAGAATCATGAACGCTCGTTTCTTCAAAGGACAAAGCGGCTTGTCACGTATGCAGACCATTAATCTTGCTATGCAATTCGCCTGTGTTTATATATTAGGTGTGTGTTTTTACCTAAAATTCGTTAGTAGGCTGTAAATGATGCCAGCTTTTAGGGGGAGGGAGAGACAGTGGTGGATATAGAAAGCTAAGGCGACTGATAAAACAGACAATAAGGTCTAGACAGCTGTGTGCCAGTTCGCGTTGCCGTCACGATAAATATGAGGCCCCGTAATCCTCTATTTATAAAGCGCTAACTTTGTGTCGTTTTGGTATCTTGATTGTGTTGTGTGCGTGTGTGGTATGTAGTTGTCCCGTCCGCAAAGCAGTGAATAGAAGAACTCATGATAAAACAAACCGCTATACAAATCGGGTCTAGACTTACAGGATTTGAGCTAGTCCAACGTTTGTAGCAGGATAGTTGTGATTAACACTCTAGGTATATAAACCCTGCTTAGCACACTTCGTTCTCTCCACAGTGCTGATCAGTGGCAGCTGGAGGCAGTGGAGAATAGGAAGGGAGATGAGAAGGGAAGCGAAAATTACCGTATACCTATGTGTCTTCTACTGTTTGAACATCACAATTGGTTGCAACTACGCAGTAGAATCACGTTCACAAGGTTGTGTGTGTCACCAGGAGAAAGTGCCCATAGCGGAGGATCGAAGCTGCGCGGAAAGGAAGGTCCCGGCGTTGACGGACTAATCTGTTCTATTAGAGCAGATGAACAGAAATATTTGTGGCGATTGGGACTCCCACCTCTCCCAACCCCCAACTTCCATAGGGTTGATCCAGCTGCTCATTTGATCCTTAAAAATGCTGAGAATTTGCCTAAAATTGTCTCTCTTTCGCTATAAAAACTCGATATCTAATTGCAGGTCTGCACACAATTCTTCCGCCTCTCCGGATAGCCAAGCATAGTTCACGCCTAGTGCGCTGCCAGCCGACACGCCAAAGTTTTCAAAGTTCGACGCCCCTCGTTCGAACAATTGTGGAAGTGCTTAAACGTAAAGTCGAAGATTCCGTTACGACCGGGGGAAATACAGTTTGCGTGATATGATATTCGCACCAGCCTGAATAACCTTCCGTTACGAACAGAATACAGCATTGCGGTGGGAAAGGGTTCAAGTCAAGCATTGAGTTCGCTACCCAAAAACTCCTCCAACCTTCTGACCAAAACTCTGCTTTTTTGTATCCACATGACCAGCTGTCTGTGGAATACAATCGGGTTCTCAAGACTGTGGCAGCATATGCTTTTATGTGCGCTCTTCAGAGAATCGGCATTCGACATCTGGGCACATGAAAGTCACTAGAACACTGTAACCTCTACATGCTTCCTCATTTGAGGATGGATCACTATTGATTAGCAGGCGCGCAATACGGTTTAAATGTTCGTAGTTGCGTGTACCATCAGCTTATTCATTCTTACCAAACAAAATCAAATTCTGGCAGTTGCAACTTTTAGGAACCCCGAGACTGGACATTATGGCGGATTGATGACCGATGACTGG